CTGAAAGAATGGCATTTAATAAATGCCTACGTTTGTAATTTGTTAAAGACCAACCGGTATTGTCAGAAAAAGATCTCTTTGGAATCGCCTCCCGGAGTTTAAATTCACTATCGAAGGATAGTTCAAATTGGCCCAAATATGTATCTGAGTATGCCTCCAAATTACTTGTAAAATGGAAAGAACCTGAAAGAGAAAATTGACTCGAAATTACCAAAAAGGCTATTCAACGTATGCGTGACGATGAAAAGATCGAAGCGAATAAAGCTGAAATTCAGCAGAAAGAATTTATTCAACATCAGCGAATTCTACTTCTGCGATTGAACTCGTCACCATTGGGATTGACGAATTACCGCGCAAACATGTCCTAGATGCAGATGGCGATGAAAAAAAGAATACCGAAGGACCTACAACTTCGGCAAAAAAAAGGTGAGATCAAGCAACTTTATTAATGTATTAATTCCTTCACAATGAATAAATGAACATTGATAATTATATATGATAAAAATTTTTGCCGTTCTGTCTTATAAATCAAGTGTAAAACTGAATCCGAAAATAGAACAAAAAGTGGGAGAACTGTTGTGCCGAATTATAGTCATTTTTATGGCGAATCAATAACAGATGACGATGCTTCTGAAAATTCTTTTATTAGTTTAGAAGGGCCAGATGATGAGTTGGTTACTCAAAAGAACGACCACATTGATAAAAATCAAGATATTCAAATTGACAATTTAAGTTGTTTAATAATATTCCTTCGTCTTTGGAAATTAATTATACTGAATTTTATAATATTCTTATCTATAATGTATAGTATCAGTAAATATATTGACAAATTTATTTCTTTCTGTAGGAATCAAATCAGAAATCGTTAATAGATCTGCTTGGTGGCAATCTTTATTGCTTGCTTTTGTAAATAATTCAACTTTAGCTTTCTTAAAATCATATTGAGGTGAGAATATTCGAATTATTGATAACAAATATTAACCATGTAAAGGAGAGATAGTTAAATTTCTTTATGATCCAGATAAAGGTTCAGAAGCTATACGCAGAGGTTTTAGAATGTTCCAAGAAGGTAAGCATGTTGCATTTGTAATGACCTCATATAAAAAGGCTCGAGCCTTAGCTAATCAAGCATCTAAATTGCAAAAACTAG